GATAGTATGTCATAATCATGAGATAGTATGTCATAATTATGAGATACTAAGTCATAATTATGAGATAGCTAAGTCATAATTATGAGATAGTATGTCATAATTATGACTTAGCTATGTCATAATTATGAGATACTAAGTCATAATTATGAGATAGTATGTCATAATCATGAGATAGTATGTCATAATTATGAGATACTAAGTCATAATTATGAGATAGTAGTTTTAGTAGTAGAGACACAAGTTTTATGTTTTTTATCAGGGTGGCAGAAATGGGCTTCCATACATCATCAATAAACTGAGTGCAAAAATATCATCCTCATTGTTAGTGATGGCCTTTTTGTTTTACTTTCTCATCAAATGCTTGTTCTTTGTAAGAAATGAGAACTACAAGAAATTAGGCTGCAGTAGTAGCTGATCTGTCTTGTTTTGTACATTATACATGTTGAACATCTGTTGTGAAAGATAAGTCACAGAAAAGTTAATAAAGACAAAACACGCTTCGCCGTCTTTCGCAAGCTTTTTTTTTTCACAACCTGTTTTCAAGGTGGCTGCCATGACCCCATTGCCTGTTTTTCATCTTGAGACCTGGCTTTGACTACTCGTGGTAAATCTGTCCCTGCATAAATTTAGAAAGTGAATGAGCCCAGGCACACACAGCAGGCTGCGTTATCAGGCCCAAACAGGACCGCATCACTCCTGCTCAATCTGACAGTAAATTTGACGCCGTTTATCTCAGGGCGTGTGGCTGGTGGGGGATGCAGAGCAATCTGACTGTCAGATTTAGGCAACTGGATCTTCAAGGTGCAAGAGTTTAAGGAGTCATATGGAGGCAGTTTAAGGTTGTTATTTGTCATACTTCAGTGCGTTATATTTATACAGTGTGTCTTCTGAGTGACATAAATGTTCTGCTTTTTAGCTGTGGGTTATTTATCAGAAGGCATTTCTCAGTTAAACTGGATCAAAATGGATTCAAGAAAGAAGAGAGTGCTGCAGTTTTAAGATTACACTGATTCAGAATAGGCTTTAATCATATTCCAGTTATAATTAGGAACTTGTTTGTTGAAGCTTAGCTGTCTCATTTTTAGCCGTGGGGCTGTTGTGAGGAAAACATCTTTAACTGGATTTGATTTTATCATCTGATTTTTAAAAAAAAAAGAAAAAAAGCTGGTTTTACCATCTAAGAATTTGTGTTTGTTTTATTACCAGGTGTGTTTACGCACTCTGAGGTCTCAGCAGGACTGGTGCGAGGATTTAAAATGCTGATTGAGGTGTCTGCTAACCTCATTAATTCCGCTTTCTCTTGCGTAATTAATCTTTGTTGACTGCTGAAGTAATCGCAGTTTCGTGGCTGTCTGCTTCCAGGCAGCACCTTCCCCTCCCAGCTGCAGCAGGGTCAGGGTTCCCTCGCTGCAGTCTCAGATGTCTCTCATACTCTCAGTTTCACTGTGACCAGGAGAAAACAAGATGATGCTCTGTCCTCCTCATCCTCCTGAATATTATAGACTTTTAATAACCTCTGATACTCTGTAAAAATGCCCACTGAATCGCAGCCCCGCTTTAAGAACRTCATTTAAAATGTAAAGTTCAATCCTAATTAGCCTCCTTTAGAAGCAGTAACCACGGTGCTGAGGTGCTAGCTAATGCGAGGTTGATATTTAAACCTTTTTATTCTCCCAGTGAGAGGTCTGCAACATGTGGACTCCCCGAAGATTTAAAAAGGTTTTGTTTCAAAGAAACTGAGCTCCCCTCTGGGGTCTGCTGTCTCTATGACTTATTAAGTCTGATTTTGTTTCCTAATTTTTATTTCTTTGTTAGCTTATCACTGTTTCTGTTTTTTCCATGCTGCTGTCTGGAAGTGTGCAGTCATAAAGGCAGAATTTTGATCAACTGTATGTAGGTACACATAGTCAGGAAAGTCTTGAGCTCTTCTGCAGCAAAATACTCTAGAGCAGTGGTTCCCAAACTTTTTATCTTCTGACCCACAAAATATCCATGGCAAAAACTCGTGACCCCAAATATTACTG